CCACTTTCCTAATATATTTTAAACATAAATTTTAAATAAAATTCTTTTCTTCATTAAATAAATATATAAATTCTTTGGCTAGCACATACTGGGATTTATGCCAAGGAATTATTCCTTGAGATAAGTGTAATTATACAATAATTAAGTTACAACAATAAGGTATGATTAGATCATTTTTTAAGAAAAAAAAGGGTAAGTGAAAATGCCTTTATTGTAAAAAAGATTGAAGGAAAATTTACTAAAATTGATTTCTTTGATGCAATGAAATTATTTAAATAATTTCTTTGTAAAACTCTGAAAAATATAACAAATTATAACTATAATTATTACAAATATTTAGACATTTTCTGTCTTGTATTATTGTCAGATTATAATACACAAGTCAAGGTTTTTACAATAAAACTGTTATTTAACCAACTGATGTTGGTAACATTTTAGGTCCTCTTTATATGATGTTTTATCTTGTAATATTTATTCTTATTATATACTCCTATTATACTTTATATTATGTTTTATCTTATAATATTTACTCCTATTAAAAATATTGATAATAACCTCATATTGGGAATGTCAGGTTTTATTATGGAAATAAAGTAAATACAACATGAATTTTTATTTATAGGAAGATATAGGCCAGAGAAATATATATTTAACATAATTTTCTCATATACTTAAAGAATGTATTATTTTACATATTAATATGTGCTCATTGATATTCTATAAGCTTTGTCACTTTTCACTAATTGGTTTTGATAACTTACTGTTTCAACATTACTCACAGCAGTTTTTATTGTTTCCCAGAGATCTTTGTTTAAATATTGTTTTCCAGACTTGAATATATCTTTTTAATAATAGATATAAGTTTTTCTATTGGATTAATACCTGGGGAGGCTAGAGTCAATTCTGTTAATTTGCTGTTCTGTAATGATTTTTGGCAACATTTAATAATAGTCAGTTTTGCAGAATGTGAAGGAGCTTCAGCTTAAAGCTTATTGATTATGGCCTCTTCCACTCAAAAAACATCTTGTCCATAAACTTATAATTCTCTACATTTGTCTTAACATAATCAATTTGAAAGGAAGCTATAATTTTACTACCTACAATACTATCACAAAACATTATTCCTCCTTATCTTCTAAGTTTTACTGGTTGACTCAGCCCCCCCACTCTACATTCATCATTAAAAAATTACCGTTGGAAAATCAGTCTTCTTAATGCAATTTATGTTACTTTTTATATTTACTTAAAGTTAATACTTTGCTTGCTTCTGTATCTTTAGCCTCTGTCCTTAACATTCTTCATCTTTTCTCTCTAGTTATATTCACAATGCCAGCTTCTTTAAATATTTACTTTTTAATTTTCCTAAAATATCTTTTTTGACTTGCTTAAAGCCAGTTTTTTTTTTATTTTGCAAATGTTTTCAGATACTATTTTTTATTGCTTTCTCATCTTGTTTCAATTTTCAGTGTTCCTATCATTCAATAATATTACAATATTATGTTTATTTTTATGACCAATGGTAAACTTTATATAAGTGAAATTAAGAAATAAATATTAAAAACAATTATATATATTAATTTCCAATATGATGAGCAACCTCAAACTGCATAAAAAATCTCACACCACCAAATAATTTATTGTAAATATTTTTAATAAAAGCAGATATTATAAAGCTGAAATTTGCATGTTTTATTTATCATATATGATAGGATAATAAGCATATCCTGAAATCTTTATGAAATATTTTTCATATTACAAGTAGACAGGCAGATATGAATAAATTAAATTGGTCTTCTTCAAAAGTTGAAAGGTTATGGTATTTTTGGACAAATTTTGAACCGATTCAGTTTTTCTTATTGAACTGCAAAATGAAAGTTGTCTTAAATGACCACTCTTCTTGATATTCTCTCACCTGGATCCACATTGTTCTTAATTTTCATCAATGACCTTACTGATGGCATCAGTTCTCAACTTAATATCTATGCTGATGACACAATCATTTATTCCTGTCTTAATAAGTCTGAGATGTTCAATAAGTTCAAATTGGCAGTTGATCTCAAAAATGGCCTACTTTCTTAACTGGAGCAAGGAAGGACTTGTTAATTTTAAGGCCTCCAAAACAAAACTGTTCTTTTAACTGTCTGAGAGAACCCTTTTTACCTTCTATCAACATGGCTAATGTTAACCTCTAAGAGAATAATTAATTGCACCTTCTTGGACTAATGTTTTCCACTGACATGAAGTGGAAAAATTATATCAAATCAATTGCTAAATCTGCTGCTAGGAAATTTGGTTCCCAGTGTTGTATCAGCCAATTTTTCTTGACAAAATCTATCATACATATTTATAAGTCTACCATTCATTCTTGCTTTGAATATTGCTGCTATATTTGGTCTGGTGCTACTGCATTATATTTATGGATTCTTGAAAAAATACAAAGAAGAATCTGCAATATTATTGGTCCTGACATGGCATCTCACCTTCAATCATTTTCCCACCACCTTTTCTATAAATACTTTTGTGGTAATTGTTCTGATGAACTTTCCTCTAGACTTTATGGATTTAAGCACAGTACTAGATTAGCAGCAAGGTCTCATCATTTTACAGTCAAAATGGCTAGATGTAACCATAAGTTCAATGCTAACAGCTTTTTCTATTGCATTTCTCATTTGTGGAACTCTCTTCCAGATTCTTGCTTCCCAGTCAATTTTTATCTTCAAAAATTTAAATGCAATGCCAATCATTATCTATTGTCTTCTTAATTCTTTTTATTTTAATATAATCTCTCTTTAATAGTGTTTTTTATCATATTCTCTAAGTCAATAACCTCTTGCATCTCAGTTGCTTTGCTTGAGGTTGAAAAAAAAATATAAGCAGACAGGCAGATATGAATAAATTAATATAAATTTATGAGCTGATGCTGAAAAATTTACTCCCTGAACAAGAGTTCCTTCAAAAAAGAAATTATGGTATTTGTTCATGCTTTGGAAAATATTAGACTAAGAATTTTTCAGCACCTCCCCATAAACTGAATTAATCAGCTTATATACTTTTGTCATGGTCTTTTAATCTAGAGATTTAGAGTTTCTAATCTTGTCAACTTTAATATAAACACAAAAATGCTATTGGTATTTAAATTGTTTTGACCAATTAAAGACAAGCTAGTTTGTTTTTAAATTGTTTTCTTATGCGGTTTCATTCTTTATCTTTATGCAATGTCATTTAATCCAATTTCCTTCACACATTGTCGGTTCTGAAAATAATCTGCCTACTGTTTACAAATCTTATATTCTTGAAGAATTTTCAAAAATGTAAACAGGGGAAGATAAACCTTCAAGACAAAGTAATAAAAGAAATATTGATGGTTGATGTTGTTTTATATTGAAATAGCACTTCTCACATGTTAGCCTCTATTACAGTTTCATTTTATTTCTTTCTTTACACATTCTGTAGTAGTTTCCCTGGCTGGAATCTCAAGATTTGCCTTTACCCTACCTGCTTCAGCATATCTTGACTGAAACAGGTGTTTTTCTGTTGTTTTTTTTTTATTTTTAAAAAGAAGACTCTAAATAGCTTAATTATAACATTTGTTTTAAATGCCAAGTCCTTTCAGGGTATAGGAGATCGTGTCTCTTCACAAATTCCTTTTCTTTATTATCAGCCATACTTCCTTGGGAAAGATAGTGGAGTAATTTTCCCTATTGTCTTCTTCATAGTTTTGAATTCAATTTTCCTTCTTTTAGATGGGTTATCACCTAGTGTGAGAGAATTAAAATAAAAGGCATTCATATGTTTAATTTTCATCTTGATCATATAGATTTTGTTCATTTGAAGTAAATTTATTTTTCTGATGACACTGCATAATTGGCAAAACATGACAGTAAAAACAAATATTATCCAAATTGTATTATATATATATATATATATATTCCATGGGTAGAAGTGCAAGCATATATTCTCTACTAAGATACAAAGTACTTACTTCTGTTTTCCTGAAGTGATCCAGTTTTCTTTTCAATAATTGTGTTCTCAACCACATTAATAAAAATTACAATGCCTAGTGCTTGTTATAACAGTGATATTTATTTTTATATCAAAAATATGAAATTAAATTCAATCTTTTACTATATTAATAAAATTTATTCAGTGATGTTGCAATATAATGGTTAACAAGCAATTTTTGCAAACCAATGCCCTGGTTCTGAATCTCTCAATGACTTGCTATTTGTTGAACATTTTTTTGTTTTCTACTCATTTCACTACAAGCAAGTCAATAATGCCACCAAGATACAAAAGATTACTGAGGATGAAAGACAATAGTGAAGGAAACTGAGAAAATGTTATTGAGGAGAAAGGACAATAAAAAAAAAACAGTATTCAAGAGAACAGAAGATGGCATTTACATTTTTGTAGCTTGTAAGTTAACTGTAAAGCAAGAAGCTGGAAGGAAGTTTCATAGTTGAGAAGTGTGAATCAAGAAACTATTAGAATAGAACTTATAGTTACACTTAGCAGTTTTAAGAGTAAAATGATGAAAGCTAGTACTACACTTAAATTAATGAACTTGAAGTACCTATGAGAAAAATTCATCAGAAAAATTGCTATGAAAATATTTATAGAAAAGGCACAGGGAAGTTACATGACAGCAGTGGGAAAGTGATGAAAGCTGGGATGCCAGGTCAGGGCTGATAATATTGCACATTTTTCTTTGAATTTTGTCAAGAATATCCAGATATATACCAGAAACGCCAAATAAGATATTGCAGAAATAATCAATACACAGTCAACTAGTAGACAGATGCAAGACAGATTCAGGTAAAAAAAAAAAAATTATGCAGCACAACACAGTGAATCAACTTTCTTAGCAACAGATTTAGTAATTCACTTGATATAATCATTCTACTTTTCATGTTGTACAGGTTCATTTTTTTCTCTTTGAAGTTTTGTAAACTTTTACATTATTATTATGGCTGCTGACAGAATACATTTTTTGTTTGCAGATTGTCCAATTGGAACATATGGACCTCCTGAATGCCTTCAGGATTGTCCACTTGGCTGTGACCAAGGCAAATGCAATGAAACTACAGGGGATTGTACTGAAGGATGTTTGCCTGGGTATATGGGAACAAGATGTGAAAAAAGTAAGTTGATTTTAATTCATTGTTTCATTGGTATATTGTGTATCTGTTAGTGTTTTCTCTCGTTTCGTGTTTTTTCCTTTTTTTTATACAATTAAATGAGATTTGTGATTACTGCATGACTGAAAACAATGAATCCCAGCAAATTCATATATAAAATGTCAATCTCAAAACACTTACAACATTTTACTTCATTGTAAGTGAAGAGACAAAAAGAATTAATCTTCTGTTGTGTTTCATGTCCCTTCATGTGAGCGATCATGTCTCTTCACATCTTGCCCTTTATAGCTCATTTCAATATTTATCTTTTTACTATCCCTTCCACACTCTGTACTGCCATCAATTTACACAAGTTTGTTAGCTAGGTGATTGAGCATTTCTCTCTGTTTTAAAATGTTCTGTGAGTTTCAAATTCATAAGCCCTATTTCCTCATTGTGTCTCCTAGAAATTTCAACTATTCCATTATTAGATAAATTCTCTTTAGGTAAATTACCATATTGAATGGCATATAAACCATACTTATTAGTAAATCAGTCAGTTATGTACCATGCATGATACACACTTAGGCGATCATGTATCTTTCGATACATGACTGACGAGGCAGATTTTTTCCTGCCCTAGGTTTCATTTTTTTCTGTGGTAGACCAGTTGCCATCCAAGACTATAGAACCCAGTCTGTCCTGCTACTTACCCATAGCTGGAGAGAGAAGAGAAGAATTAATACCTGTCTCAAGGGTATTAGCAGGTAAGCAAATGTAATGGATTTAACTGGAATTCGAACTTGGCTCTCTGATTCCTCATTCAAATTCCAGTAATATAGTAAATATTAGTAAATAATATTCTAAAAAAAGCAAAAGAACACACATTTCTCCAAATTCCTCTCATTTCTCACCCAGTTTTTTGGGCATTTTTTCACTCTTCCTGAAGTCGTGGCCAATATTTTTAAAAATTACCTGGGTACTTTGGTCATGTTGCACACATCATAGATTATAAATAGTTATAATGTGATGAGTTTTAAAAAAAATAAAATATGTCTGCGGTTTCCGATACTAAATAAAAAAAAAATATATATTTCTTTGACTAAAGGTTAAAGTCAAGAAACCTAATTTCTTACATGAATATACAAAATTTTTACCAAAAAGAGAAATATTGATAGAAATATGATTAATGTCAAAGAAGAATGAAAATAATATGCTTCATTGTTATAATATCTTTTAAATAGGGAAGTAAAAACTGTTTAACTTCATATTATTAGATATGTATCTTTTTTACATACTTTTCTGAATGAATAGATCAAATAGTTTTAAGATATTTGAACATTCTCCTTTCTATGAATTTAATTATTTCTATACTTTCTTTTCATTTTACTGATTTAAAAAAAATATATTACTTTACCTCTTTCTTTTAGATTTTCTAGTTTGTTTTTTTTTTTTCAATGATTAATTTCATATTTTTTTGTATTGTTTTTTTTATCACATTATTTTTCATCATATTCTTGTTACTTTGACTAAACCGTTCCTTGGTTTTCCAATGAATATTGTTTGTGCATGTGAATTTTTTCCCTGGATTAAATTTATCTTACTGTACAACTTAAGCTATCTATAAATCAATGAATTCTGCAATAATACCAAGAAAACTTTAATTTTATACCTAAATCTTCCTTACCATATTTCATTATTTGTTAATCTTCATATAACAATATGCTCAAACAAATCGGTTCCTTAAGATTCACGAATTATTAAAATCTTCTTTTCATTCCATTGTACTGCATTAGAATTAAGGACCCTTAAATACCTTCTTTTTTCTCTCACTGATTTCATTGTTATAAAATAATCATTCCTATTTTCTACTATATTTTTATCAGAAGCTTGTGATCAAAGTGAATAACACTCTTTGCTTACATAATATCACTCATTATTTCTACATCTTTAGATCACAAAATGCAGTTCCAGCACTACTAACACATACTTCTAGCAGCTTTTCTTTTTCTAAATAATTGTTGTAACCTAAGGAAGGTTACTGAATAGAATAATCACATGAAGATTGGTAATGAACAATAATACTTAGGACACCAACAACACATATAAGATTCACCAGCAGTACATAGAAGTAGTAGTCAACTGCTAGAAGTGAGTCAAATGAATTCTACAATGAATCTCCAACTGCAGATCAACATACAGTATTTACTACTATATTTATGTGAATGAGGACATACCTATTATCGTCTGTAGGTATGCTACAACAATGTTATTACGCCATTTCAAAATTGTACTAAACTCACCAATTGGTTCTCCTTGCCCTGATGATGACTTAAGAAAGTCAAAAGCCTGGACTGTATTCCCTGTAGTTTTCTTCCAAAATGAACTTTGGTCAGTTTTTCCTTGTCTGAGAAGGATTATTTGTAACTTGGAAAAGTTGATCATTAAAATTAAACAACACCAAATGTTTGTCATTTTTAATAGAATGTGCCTTAAAGAACATTTGCTGCCTAAATACACATATATATACCCAAACCCTTTTGTGTACAACCTACAGATTTTTTGTATGCATTTATTGTATCAAGGGGAAAATTTTTATGCAGAAACTGTGTTTATTTCTTAAGTTTTATCCAACAAAGAATATGACTTCATGAGAGAAAGTAGTAAAGTATAGTAAGTCTTATCAGCTATGAGGCTAATTATCTCATATTGAATAACCAGAAGTGTCATTACAATACAGAATGACAAATAATAAAAAAAATATCACACACTCTCCTGCTAACTAAAATTATCACTGTGAATTTTTTTAAAAATCACAAAATCCCCTCTTATCTGCCAAAAATTAAAGGAAATACAGCAATATATTACTACAATGGTTAAGCGGTTTATGGATATGCTCAGATCCTTGTTATGAAGGCAATGAGTATCCCTTATGTGAAGAATCAATGACTTGTCTTTAGGAGGAATGAATTCAGTTTAATTCTGCATTGTGCTTTCATTTGAATCCTCGTCCTGACTGATGATGTTGATGCATTCAAGTTGTCAAGAGTTATGACTTGGTTCTGAATTTTAGACAGGTTATTTCATAAATGACATGTAAGGACTAAACCTTAGAGTAATTCTGTTGTATCATTAACATTATGACAGCAAACATAGGCCTAAAGAGGATTTACCTCAGAATTCTGTTTCTTCAACAACTGGTTCAAACCTTAATTTTCTGGGATGATGCCTCAAAAGGACAGTTCCAGGTGAGGGCAACCACTTTGATATAAAGCTTCCACTAATCAATTTGCATTAGAAATTAAGTGATCTTATGAAGTAACATTAGTCACAGTTGACAACAGTACATATTGAAATTGCAGTGCACCCTCTAGGACAAACTCCTACTGGGTCATAGTTTAGCATTGTGATTTGAGTGCAAGAATTAATGGTACCATTCACTCTATCCATTGCCTTTAGGATTATATGGTGTGGTCCAACTTGTGAAAATTCCATAGCTATGCAAAATTTTTTACATCTGATGACATAAATTATGCAGCTCTGTATACTTCCCTACAATCTAAACCTGTTCAAGTTTCTGCCTTAAGTGGCTCTTCTGAACATTGTTGCCAAAAAAAAAAAAAAATGAACACAAGCATGTCAAAGCTAACAAATAATAAGCTGAACTATTGCATCACTTTTCGAGATATCATATCTGGACAAGTGAAAGGTCATCCAAAAAAACTTGTCTATTATAGTAAATATCAATTTGTTAATGTTGATGGAAAAGAGACTTTAAAATCAATACTGAGTCTCACAAATGTTAGATTTTCTATGATGAAATGTGATATGTTAGATTAATGGAACTCAAAAATAAACTCTCTTTATATTCTCAACAGAGAACTGTAGGTTCCTTGTTCTAACAAAGTCTAACATTCACATAACGCCTGGATGACAAAGTGTTTAACAACCTTTTCACTAGACACACATATGTTGATAACCCTATCTGCAGCAACCCCTTTTCAGCTTTTGGGTATGTGGAAAGCAAGATAAAAAGAGGCTAGCTCTCTCTCTCTCTCACTTTGGGCCGAGATCAGGATAGCATTCCGTGCAGTAGTTGCACATGGCTTAGACTATACCCATTAACTGCTCTTCAATTCACCAACAGAGTAAATCCAACTTTTCCTTCATTCTTTACAGAGACTCTTAAGAACATTCCTTGAGTTCACCTTTTCTTTCAGGAATTAACTTCAAAATTTTCTCTTCATGAAAATCTTCTTTATAGAATAAAAATTTCCAACTTTTTTTTTTTTTTGTTTTTCTATTTGCCCAACCAATTCAACACTTTTTAGTTTTTGTTTGTCAATATATGGCCTCTTGTTAACTTCAAACAATGATCCCATACCTGATAACAAGTTATACAATTTAAAACACTGGGACCAACAACAGAACAGCATTCCCAAAACACAGCCTTTTCAGTAATGCTATCCCTTACATAACAAACATGCTCAATCCTTGATCACTGAATTTTATCTTTGTTAATTTTACTGAACTGAATTCTTATTATAATTGAATGCCACTGATTTCTGACCAGTAAGAATGATAAAGTGGAAACCAGTTCTGTAGAATTTCCACTTGCAAAGAGCCTTTACCTCATGTCTTAATGCCAAGTGTATTGTTTACTAGAAATTAATGTACTTGAAAAGAAACTCACTGTTCAACCTGTTTGATTTAAGGTGGTAAATATGTGATCAGATGCATTCATCTCTACAAATAGAATGCACCGCAGCATTTAATCTCTCAGCTTTCAAACATTTGAATAACTTTCAGTTGGTTTGGGTAGTGGAAATGTCTTAACTTATATAATAGGAGAAAATTTCTCAGAGTATTGGCAATCCAATAGATTTAAAATAAGAACATACCTGCAGCACAATGTCATGTAAAGTTTGTCTCCATAAAGTATCAGGTGGCAGATTTAAGGTCAGTTGTACTAAAGAATTGATGTTGTACCACTGTTTACCAGTTCATCTCCCCTTGGTATGGAG